CCAAAAAAGACTCCTAGAACATGCCACAATGGCACTGCGGACACCTTTTCCAGAAACAAACTCTTTGAATACAGTGCATACATCGTCTCAGATCGTGATTTGAACACACAGAATAGCTTTCACACAATAGGAAATGTAACTTCATAATTAAGAGAAATGAAATATTGTTTTCAAAGTGGTCTCATTCTTGAATCCGTGCAGTTCTTCTTCGTCACTGCCGTTTTGTGCACGCGCTCTTTCCAAACCGCTTTCTTGGATCCTTTGCATTCTGCGGCTACCGCAAACCTATGCACGGAGTGCGTGGCTCCGGCAGAGGTTGGTTTGGGAACTCACCCCTTCGCACTCGCCCTGGTCCAGCGGCAGGCGGACGGCCCCCGCCGGGAAACCACCTTGCGAAAGGTCGTGGACTGCCACGGGTGCTTTCCACGTCGAGACGCTCGTGGTACACGTTGGCAGGGTATCGCAGATGCCCGAGCCGTCCATCGAAGAGTCCCCCCCGTCGCTCGCCTCGACCGGTTGGGCACGAAAAGAGTTCTGGGGTGCTCTCGCAGCACCGGCAAGCGTCCCGAAAAAGCTCCCCTTGCGGGCACGATGCCGCTCTTCCTTTGCCTCCAGATAGGTTTTCATGGAACGGAYCGCCTTCGCGTTCTCGTTCTCGTCAAAGCGATTTGCGGCACCGGGTGCAAGGRTGTTCGCGTACTCCAACGGACGCAAGCCATGCGCAGAACTTGCCTTCCACAAGCTCCCCGGTGCAGATTCCACCAGTGTTTCGAGCCGGTCTCTCTGAAACCCACCGTCGCCGGCGGTGGAAAATGCTTCGGTCGCCTCSTCCTCTCTTGCCGGTGCATTCGGTGGGGCAATGCCCATCGACCACTTTGCGGCTACCATGTGCACCGGCAGCATCCCGAGGACATCCCTGGAAGATCCTTCGGAGTATTCTTCCAAGAGAATCCTCAATACAGGGGACGAGGCTTCGTATAGGCACGCAATGTGGATTGGAAGCACCCTTGAAACTCCAAAGGATCCCGAGCTTTCCTCTTGTTCCGGACACTGCCCCGGCTCGGGTGGCTGCGTTTCGACGCGGGGCAGGGTTTYGAGAATCGCCAGGGGATCGAATTCGATGCATCGATGCAGAACCTTGGTTTGAAGCGAGCGGGTGGAACGACTCGTTGTCAATTCGTCGCGGCTACCGGATACCGCAACAGAKTGATCGATGGTTTCGAAACWAYTYTTGCTGCGGATCGGATCGCCTTGAGACGGGTCAGACGGTGGGTCGTCCGAMGCAYCCACCATGGCCATCCTGCCGTTGCTTGTCCATTGCAGAAGACTGCTGCTGTCACCCGAGCTCTCGTCGGTGTCGTCCCCACTAAAAGACTCAAAGAATCGTTCGAGCTCAAAACTTATATCTTTACCAATATAGTCTGAAGGATCCTTGGCGGTCGGCCCGCTGTTTGCCGTTGTTTGGAGKCTGCTCCTGCCCTCGGTAATCGCGAGGCTGTTGGAAACAAAAAATTGTTCCAGCTCGTTGCTAATGGCAGAAGCCCTATCGTCGGTACCACGATATGCAATCGGTGCTGTTGCCATATCTTGGTCGCTGCAAAAGTAACCAGAGGCGCTGGGCGAAACCAGATCGCACCGAACGACAGAGCCGTCGCAGCTACTGCAGCTCGACTCACTTATCGTCAGCGACGCCCCGGTCTCTTCCTCGTCGTCGTCGTCATCGTCATCGTCCATTACGTATTCTAGGCTGCTGGAACCATCGTCGCAGAAATAGCCAGTATTGTCTATTAAAGAATGCGTGGCCGTCGTCATCGAAGTGCTCAAGTCTCCAGTAGAATGTTCTATGGAGAACAGCTGGTCAAGCTCGCCAAAGACAGGCTGTTTTTCTGGCGCACTGACGGTTGATAAAGGCGCAAAAAGGTCTGGTGGATCGAAATCCCGTAATACTGGTGAACAGGAGGACGAACGAGGCTTGGAGTTCTTGCTTTTGTTGCTCCCCGAATGGTCTTCGATCTGCCGCGGCAACAGAGTGATCCACTTTCGCTGCACGGAATTAGTTCCATCCATAGTCCCTTGTGTGCTTTCAATCYCAGGGGTGGCTCTAGGAGCATGTTTTTTGCCAGAGTTTCGGTATGCTTCCCGTCCGATTCCATTCCTACTATAGTGACTGTTCTCAACCTGCGATGCCGATTCCTCTTCGGACCAATGGTCGGATTGGGTGATGCGAGGCCCTGGCAGCRGTTGAAAGGCTAAATGTTTGCGGTTCGACTTCCTGCCCAACGCAGAGAGCTTCTGGCGCAGAGCCCTGGCGATGCTTGGGGTAGCGTGGATGCCGGTACCGTGCCCCACGAGTGTCACCGGAACGGTGGCCAGGGAGGTGTTGTTCTCGTCAAACAACGGGACCGCACGCTGCCGCCGCGGCGGCGGAGATATCCGGTGGTACTGCTTGTGCTGGCGCTGCCGGAATCTGTGCAACACCGGTAGCCTTTGTTTCTTRTGATGGGGAACAACCAAACCGTTTGGCATCGTTTCTTCGGTAGAAGCCACGACATGGGAGAGCAGCACACCCACCACCTGGGGCGGCGGGCGGAGCGCACAAGCTGCGTGGAGKGGCAATAGCCTCAAGCGGCAGCACCGGATCGACACCGGAGCCTTCTTCGACGGTAGCTGGCCCTCGTCGCGACCGCGGTAATTCGTTCCGGTCCGATCCGCCTCCGAAACAAGAATCGGAATAGGAACCTCTACGGTGCAGGGCACCCGGACCTCGTCGGGGAACGATCTCGCCCGGACCAACACCTCCCGCCAATTCCTGGCCAGAACGGACGCCATCAGCTGCGTTTGGGCATTCGTCGAACCACCCCAATGGCTCTTCCTCTCGTGCCCGCTCCGGCCTCCGAGAGAAAYMCGTTCCCGCAAWGGGCGGACCAGGCGYCGGCTTTTTYGCGAGCGTCCCGCGTGTGGTTTTCTATTTGGCACACCAGCGGACGACGAATGAACCGGTGTGTTCCCCATTGTTTGTCTTGGCTAGTCTTCGTTCGGTTGCTGAACCCTTGGATTGATTCGAACCAAAGCAGAWAAATGGACGATTTTGTTTCCTTCGTTTTTTGTTTGTTGTTGTGGGAATGAGGCTTCTTTCGTGGATGGAATGGAAGAACAGGCCATGTCAATCGATTTGATTCGTCCACTCGCGTCAACAACACGACTGGCGTGGAGTTGCGGTGGAACAGACAAATGATCGGCGCACATGTTGATTGTTGTTTGTTCTGGTGTCGTGAGGACCGGTTTGCCTCTCCGATGGCTACTGTCTCCCATTATCGGATTTTGGTGGCCGATTGAAGCAAAGAGTCCGCGAGTCGATATACATGTGGAGTCGATTCGATTCGATTCGATTCGAGTCGTTCCGACTCAATTCGCGTGTTTCAAGAATTTTCCATTCGGATTTTAGAGTGTGCATCTCTTTTGAAAGCATTCTGTTCCATTCCAAAGTTAGGTGGCAGAAATTAGAAATTTACAATCGAGTCGTCCGTCTTTTTCGCCTTCTTCTCCTTTCAAATCTCGGTGTATGTCACTCCCCTTCCCCATCCAGCATGTGTTGTGACAATGATTTCTTGCCGAAACAACGACACAACTAGCGTAGGAAGACATCATAGCGTGCAGCACAGCATTTTCCTCACGAAGCACGAGTATCGTTTACGTTGTCATTCGAATTCGTGTGATCTCGGTTGTCTTCGACGCGAACACGTGATGATAGAACCCTGTGTTCGTAGTCATTGGTCGGAATTGCAGCATTGGTTATCTTCTCTATTTAAGATCTATTCGTTGATGCGCTATTAACTAAAGTCGAGCTTGAGATTTGCATAAGAAATGAACAACGAGCCAGAGTGAGGTTAGCATAAGAAATGAGCAACGATCCGGGATGAGGTTAGCATAAGAAATGAACAACGAGCCAGGGTGAGGTTTGCATAAGAAATCTACAACGAGCCAGAGTGAGGTTAGCATAAGAAATTAACAACGATCCGGGATGAGGTTTGCATAAGAAATTAAAAACGATCCAGGGTGAGGTTAGCATAAGAAATGAACAACGAGCCAGGATGAGGTTAGCATAAGATATTAACAATGCGCCAAGATGAGTTTCGCATAAGAAATGAGCAACGATCCGGGATGAGGTTAGCATAAGAAATGAACAACGGGACAGGATCAGGTTAGCATACGGTAAGAACTGAGCAACGATCCGGGATGAGGTTAGCATAAGAAATGAACAGCAATGAGTTTCGCATAAGAAATGAACAACGATCCGGGATGCGGTTAGCTTAAGAAATGAACAACGAGCCAGAAAAAGTGTTAAATGTGTCAACAATAAAAATATAATGAAACACTTATTCCATCTAATCTATCCATTATTTAAGTGTCATGACTTGGCAATCGTGTCAGTCGAAAATTTCCGAACCTACTTCTCCTTCTWATTACTGATGTAAGGCACAGTATGGTACGTACTGTACGGTACGGCAACGAGCGGTGCCTGAAGGATTACCGTGAAATGCTCTTCAGAGTTTGATCATTACTGTAGTTCTCAACTCACACTTGTAATCTCTCTCCAGATCTCCATGCAGCTTCCATTGTAACCTTCATTTACTATTGCCGCAAAAACGATACCGTGTTCATTAACATTCTAGTTCAAGTGCTCTCTTTTCTCTTGACGCGAGAGCGTGATGCTTCAGTTTTATATAACGCTCTATGAACCCCCTGATGGTCGGGTTATCTGCTCTGTTTATGAATCGTAGCTTATTAATTGAAACTCGTCTAGGAAAAATGAATAAGTAGTTCTTCGACAAATGTAGTTTATTGATATGATTTTGTAGAAATCTAAAAACATACCCAATTGCCGCCTTCGTCATTTGTACCTCAACCTTTCCTTTCTTCAAAGTTCCAAAACGTTACTTATGGCATATGTCTGAAAGCGATGGTAGAAATTGCAATGCATTTTTATGTGTGGTCTGAACAACAATCTGCTTCTTACTTAAGAAAAAACAGATTTATTACGAAACAGTATCCATTCTTCTTTCCTGCGTTCGTGGTATGTCATTTCTGAAGAAAAATGTCAAATCGTGTCTTTCTCTCAATCGAGATTCTTGTTTCCGCGCAACCCCAACCGTACATTACAGTACTGTACTCTTCAACAAAGTGGAATTTGGAACCGGTACGGTAGCGCAATCTCACAATTTGTCATTTTCAAGCGAAAATATCTCTCGCACCCATCGCGTTGCCAGAAAACACACAAAACATTGTTATTATTTGTTTCAAATATGGAGGACGCGAATTGCAACCAAGACGACAAGAGGAGACAGAAGCCTTCCTATGTTTCTTGGTGGGAAGAGAATCTCAGAGAAACGATTCGATTGAATCGAGAAGGTATCGAATGCATGGAACACCGAAAATTCGCGGCCGCCGTAAAGCTATTTGCAAACGCTCTCGATAGGCACGATCGGCTCAAAACAGAGGTTCAATGTATGATGTCCCCTGATGGTGACTCGGGGGATATCATAGTAAGCGCTGCGGATAAAAATACCACGGCTGCAGGTGCAGAAAATTGTGCTGATGCTGATACCCCTAATCGCAATCACGGTGCCGCAGTGCCCAACAACAAAACCTTCGACAAATTCTTCTTTCATAGTGACTTGTTTGTACAACAGGACCACCAGCAAGGGGATATCGACCTGGTCTTTTGCGAACCTATCCGAATTCCAGCGACGATCGAGGACGTAGAGGTTTTGATTTCAGAAACTTGCCGCGGCAGCAATAATAGCTCCTCGGCGTGTGAGGCAGCATCTTCGTCGCCACGGACGTTGTCCGAATGGGTATCTACCGCCAATGACTTGCTCTCTTCCTACCACACCTACAATTTTGCGATCTCCCATCACCTGCGGGGAATCGAGCTCATGCGTGAGGACAAGGACAGAAATAATCCGGGCGTTTCACCAGAACGGAGTTTGTACAAAAAWTATCTGGAAACCGCTTATAGCTGTTACAAATTAACCATACGTCTGGAACAAAAACGCCAAAACAAGAATATTGGGGGAGAGCGACTTTGTACCAGGGTGGATCCCCGCGTCGTGTTGGCCTGCTTGAACAATCTCGCCGATCTAGATTACCGTGACAGCCAAAACAGCAGTGTTACTGCGATCCGTGTAGGAGCCTTCATGGCTTCTACTGCCCGTTGTCGGAGCTGCTATCGGCACTTGCAAATCATAACAAGACGAATGTGGGAAGCCCTCGAACATTTGGATCACAAGAACCGTAAGAAATCCAGATTGTTGGAAGAACACGTTTCGCAATTGGAAGTCAGTCGCTCTTATATTCAAATATTTGCAAGAAACGCTCGCCAGGGGTTTTTTCGATTGTGGAGAAGCACAGTTTCGAAGAGACGAAATGATGGGGATGAGGACAAAGAGCATCCAAACCTTTATGTATTGGAGAGTACCACTGCTGGAGCTGCCTAAAAAGTCTGAWGGTTTATTGCAACCGAGGGAATACTAGGATGAATCAATCCAGCAGAAATTGTGTTAGTAGTACATGCGAATCACTGGGGATCGTCACCTCTTATAATTAAACAATGAAAGAATTTACCAAAATTATTTACCACTTAGTGATTTTTACTTTTCATTGTCTCCAGATTACAAACCATCGTGCTCTCTGGTACTCACACTGCAATGGCTCCCATCTAGGAAGGCACTGTAAGGCTTTTGATAAGCGCATGCATGCTAGAAAATTTGGGTATTGGGTTGAAGAGAATTGAAGGTGAAAACAGTCAGTATTCTACAGCCAGTTGCTTAATACTACTAGAACGACTAGTAGTACATACAGCAGAGAATGATACAGCACCATACAAGAAAAAAATATTGACCATGCTGCCTACAATGTCACCAGGAGGCCATGATAGCTTGCTAGCATTTGCACTTCCTACTGCTAGTAGCAGTGTTGCCTATTTCGGGGGGAAATGATGCATGAATCACCTCAGCTTCAATTTCTTTTGATTCATAGTAGTACTATTCTTGAGCCATTGCTGGTGGAAAACTCATTGGCGTTTTCTTTTCATTTTAAACAGCTCCTTTGTAATAATTTCTAGTAATCAGGGACAACATTTGATCATAATACTGAAATACTATGAAAAGTACAAAAGCTGTTGCAAATCCCAGTTTCACTAGAATTAAGTGGTGATGTTCTTGTTGCAGCAAATGCTCCTCATACAGTTCACTCCCAATCTACTATATGTGCTGGGGGATGTGTATTTTTAAATCAAGCTACTCAGTGCTATGTTGTAGGTCTGATGATGGTCTATGACCCATTGCCATAACTACATGTTTACATCAAAGAGTGCAGGTATTGCAGAAAGAAATATTCACTCACTAGTATAGCCTCACAACCTTTTTGAGCTTTTTTTGGGTACTACCAGTACCCCTGTATTGTTGCTACTAGCAAAAGCATCTTTAGTATGTAATTTAGAAAATGATGAGTCATCCCTGTTATTCAACATGTGCTAAACATGGGACAAAACTAGCACATTTAACACATTTAGGATCATGGGAATCAAATTTTGATGGACAGACTGCAAGGAATGCTGCCTTTATGCCAGTCTTTTGAGGAATTAATTGGAATCTTGAATAGTTTTTCATGACCAAAAAGAGGTCTGRCATCTAAGAATGCTAAATATATACTACTAGTTACAGCCACCAGATGTAATAAATTTTCAGCAGTCTATCTGTCTATCACATTTAGTATTTTTTTAATGAGTGATTCCTGCTACTCTAGGTTGACTAGATGTCTACACCAGAGGAGGCTACTATTTTGAACTATATAGACAAACATAAAAGAGACAGACTGCTGCTGGCTTCTTGCTTGATCACCATGCCACCACCAACACCAGCAGTCTTTTGGAGAATTTGGAATCTTATGTACTACTATTACTGCTGTACTGTACTAGTATAAGTCAAAAACATACTACTASTAGTAGTAGTACCACAAAAACATGAAAGGATTCAAAATTCCATTTCTGGATTCCAGTCTATTAAATCTAGACAATTTTGAACGGGGGGATGGAGGGTACCAACCAGTATTACAATTACTAATACCTCTGTTCCTAAATTATGGTGCATTTTTGACCTCTCCCCAAGCTCAATATTTGGGCAATTTGGCTGCTTCTTATTTATAATGTTGATCTTGTTTCATACTTATTGAATTTTTCATGACTTGTAATGTTGTACCAGCAACAATAATGGAATAAGCCTTCAAAAACCTTTATTTTTCTTATCAATCATATGAAAATACTGTCAGTTAGGTTCAACCACCAGTGGTCCTATTTTGATACGCTGCTACTACTAGTACTGCTCCTTGCACATAATAGCCAAGAAGAGTGACACATTTTTGAGGCTTTAATTGTCTTTGATATGGAGAACTTTCTTGCATTGGTTATTGCACAAGATTATGTATACTCTTAAAGTGTGTATGAAAATTGAAATTATAAGATTAAGATTCTCGCGCTC